GGTGTCTGTGTCTATTGGTTAGGCTTATATGCATGCATACAAGTCCTTTGGTTGATCTCTCTCCCTTACCCCACCCTCCCCTGCCTTTCCTCTGCTTTTGGAAGGTCTGATCAATGCTTCTCTGTCTCTGAATCTGTTTTTGTTCATCAATTTATGTTGTTCATTGTTGGAAGCCCATCCACCCTGGTTGCTTGAGGCAGTCCCTACAGGGATGATTCAAGGGACCTGGCATGATGGCATATTGTTCTTAATATGTTTGCTCCCCTCTTAACAGCTATGTGTTCTAAATAGGACCACCTCCCTGAGAAAGGTTGTTTTCCCAGAGGGGTGGTTGGTCACTTTGATCTTTGCTTGGAGTGACCTCCTTCAGTTACTTCCTTGAAGCTTAGTGGAACAATGGAGTAACCTTTGAATGGAGATGGGAAGCCCCCTGGCCTTTTGTATAGAATAGATAGGATTGGGACCAAATAGTATAAATACAGATGCTAGATGACAATAAAAAAAAGAACCTGGCTATGATGATCACCTGAACACTGCCTGGCTGTCATTCATTCTTCGCCAACTCCGTCCACATCTTTGGGAAACCCTGGACCCGCTCGGGCTGGACCCCGGCAGTTCATTATATTCCACAAATGAGTGAGATCATGTGATATTTATCTTACTCTGACTGACTTATTTCACTTAGCATAATGCTCTCCAGGTCCATCCATGCTGTTGCAAATGGTAGGAGTTCCTTTCTTTTTACAGCAGCACAGTATTCCATCCTGTAGATGTACCACCATTTTTTTTTTGTCTAAAGATTTACATATGTCTCCTTTTTCCCCAATTGACCCCCTCCCCCATCCCTTTTCAGCCCAGGCAAGGCCTCATCACCCCAGTGTCTGTGTCCATAGGTTATGCTAATATGCATGCATATAAGTCCCTTGGTTGCTCTCTAACCCCTTTTCCCTTCCCAACCATTTGTCTCTAGATTGATCTATTCTTTTTCATCAAATTATGTTGATCATTACATCCCACATATGAGTGAGATCATGTGACATTTATCTTTCTCTGACTGACTTATTTCCCTTAGCATAATGCCCTCCAGTTCCATCCATGCTGTTGCAAATGATGAAAGTTCCTTCTTTTTAATAGAGTTATAGTATTCCATTGTGTAGATTGTACCACGGTTTTTTAATCCACTCATCTGCTGATGGGCACTTGGGCTGTTTCCAAATCTTAGCTATTGTAAGTTGTGCTGCTATGAACATACGGGTGCATATATCCTTTCTGATTGGTATTTCTAATTTCTTGGGATATATTCCTAGAAGTGGGATCACTGGGTCAAATGGAAGTTCCACTTTTATTTTTGAGAAGGAAACTACACACTGTTTTCCACACCAGCCTACATTCCCACCAGCAGTGCCCTAGGTTTCCTTTTTCTCCATATCC